CCGCGTAGAGCACCAGCAGGTACAATACCTGTTTGTTACTTAAATGACCCCCTTTGTCTCACCATTTAAGCATAAATCCATGATCTTCAGGATGGTCTGTCTTCATAGGAGAGCTTCTAATATGTGTCTAGACAGTCCTTTTATTTTTGGCAATTTTGGCAAAGTGACTTGCTTCTGGAATTTAACAAAACCAGACAACGCCTGTCTCCCTAGTCTCATCCAAAGCTGTGCCCCCTCGTCTAGAATCTGCAGAGACTCTTGCTGTCTGTCCCCTCCGTAACAGCTAGGCACGGATGAGAAAAAAGTTTTACAAATCCCACTGGAATATTCTGCTGCCTGAAAGGAGGCTCTGCTGGAGCCTCGGAGCCAAAAGCAGCTTGAAGCTAGCGAAGGCCCCTGCTCCTCGGAGTGGGTACCTGGGATTAATTCAGGCGGAAAGCAGGCAAGAGATGCTGGCCCCTGAGAAGTGCTAAAGATAGGGAATTTTAAGATCCAGACTGAAAAGAAAGAGGGGGCAGAGGGGATTGGGAGTGGGGGAGTTGGAAGGACTGACCTTCCTTAACCCAAGGGATCTTAACCTGCTAGGATTGATGTTAACTGTTAAATTTGGGAGGGGTGTGTGTGTGTGTGTGTGTGTGTGTGTGTGTGTGTGTGTGTGTGTATGTTTCAGGGAGAGGGTCTATGGTTTTTATCAGGGTTGCAGTAGGATCTGTGCCCCCAAAGCTTAAGAACCACAGATCTAAAAGGCCAGCAATTAGGTTAGCAAATCATCTCCATCCTAAACATGACCTGAACTGGAACAATCACGAGAAAGGAAAAGTGCTTTGTGCTCCAAAGAAAACAAAAGCCATTTCCAACAGGAATTGGCTGTCACATTCTCTGCACTTGGAAAAAAAATCAACAGAGCATCCGCCCAGCCTGCTCAAGGCCCATCCCTTAAGCCCAGGTCTCTAGGGAAGGCAGTGAGCCTTTGTTTTCCAGTCTGTGGGCAACTGGCTGGGCCAGGAGCCAGAGAGGAGAGACCTCTCTGGAAGAAAATACAGAGATGTGCCAAGTTGTGCGGGCTAGAGGCACCCAAAGGAGGACTCCAGCTGATGCCACAAGACCCACCGGGTGAGGAAGAATGTGCCAGTTGTAGACTCACTTCTCTCCTGCTGTCTTTCTTGATTTGGCTCCAGCTAGGATGTCGGGCCAGCTTTTCCCTCTGGGTGCTCCGAAGCACCACCATATTAGTCACAGGCCTCGGTGCCTTTCCAAGTAGGTTTTGGACCCTTCGTGGTCGGCAGGCCTACCTGTGGCCCCCCTAGCTATCACACTGAAGCTCCTGCCCGGTCAAGGCGATGTGTCACGTCTGGTGTTCAGAAAGGATACTCCCTTCCCCTGGCCCTTCTCGCCTTCGTGAAGGAAGAACCTGGGATGTGGCAAAGTCCCAATAAATGCTGGGAGGAGGCCTGGGAGCAGGCGGGAGGCCCCGAGCCAGCGCGCTGTGCCAGCACTTGGTGTAACCTCCAGGGAGGGCGCAGTCCACGCAAGTCCTGGCTTCTGAGAGGTAGGCCCTGGGTGTCAGCCTGCAGCCGTGGCCTCTCCCGAGTCCCGTGGATTCACACTCCAACTTGAGTTGTTGTTTTTCGATGTTGGTGTATGTTCTGTCTTTAATATATCCCAGAGGGCATTCTTGATTTCCTCCCCTAAAGCTGATTCTCCTCCAAGCTTCCCCATCTCAATAAATAACACTTGAATCACCTAGGCGCTCATTCTTCAGGTCCCAGCTAAACGGCACCGCCTCCTTCCCCTTGGAAAGACCTTCCCAGGCAGCAAATCTAGTGTCGTCTTCCCGCGCCCCACACACACACCCACACACCAAGATGCTCTCTTTCATGTCAGCCTGTTTGCTTATCACATTCTGTTGCTTTTATTTTTTCTGGTATGTCTCTCCACTGAAAATGGAAAGTCTGTGAGGACAGAGAGTCTCTATTTGCTTCTCCAGAGTCCCTCTCCAGCCTTCTCCCCTGTCCTCTAGGCCTGAGGAGGCTGACCGATGGGGTCTGTGTGGCCCACACTCCCATACCCGCCAGCAGCAGACGGGAGAGGGAGCCGTGGGTAGGTGGCCCCCTCTCTGCCACAGCCTCTGTGACGCAGCTTCTCCTGCAGCTCTTGCTGGGTTCCGGGAACCACTTTTCTCCCCTTGCCTTTCCAGGCCTGGGGGGGGGGGGCGATAATGGCTGCCGTCTGTTGCCAACCCTGAAATGCCTCACTTCCCCAGGGACCTCTTAACCCTGCCCATACTTCTGCAAGCAGTCCCTTCATTAAACTCTGCTCAGTGACCGCTCTTGAATGTGTCACTTGCTCTCTGACAATGGTTCTGACCCACATGGGGGCTGTGTCTAACTCACTGACCAATGTCTCCCAACAATGTGCTGAGGGATGTCTGGCATATCTTAGGTACTTAATACGTACATAATACGCGCGTTTTGAGTAAATGAATGAGCAAAGATACTATGTTTTTAGTTACATTTTCATTAAGATATAATTCATATACCATAAAACTTACCCTTCTAAGGACTATAGTTCAGTGGCTTTTAGTTTATTCACAAGCTGTGAGACCAACATCACTAATGCCAAAACATTTTCATCACTTCCTAAAGGAACCCTGTACCCATAAGGGTCACTCCCCACTTCACCCCTTCGCCCAGCCCCTGGCAACCACAATCTACTTCCTGTCTCTATAAATTTGCCTATTCTGGACACTTCATGGAAGCAGAATTATGTAATATATGGTTTTCCGTGCCTGCTTCTTTCACTTAGCATAACGTGGTCTCATGTATCAGCATTTAATTCCTTTTTATGCTGAACAATATCCCGTTGTAGGGATAGACCACATCGTGTTTATCCATTCATCAATTGATGGGCCTTTTGGCTATTCTGAATAGTGCTGCTATAAATATTCATGTACAAGTTTTAACATGAACATATGTTTTTAGTTCTCTTGGGTAGATACCTTGGAGTGGAATTTCTGGGCCATGTGGTAACCCTATGTTTCAGTTTTTGAGGAAAGATACTTTGTTTTAAATCTCTATGTGTCCTACAGCACTACACAGTACTTTCTTCAGCCTCTGGCCCCGGTACTGGCATGTGCCTGGGAAAGAACCCAAACCCCCAAGTATGTGGAGCAGAGGAAGTCTCAGATACGACAGGTACACTCCCAGTAGGTACCCAGGAGACATTCCTGCACACATGCACCAGCATATACAGATCAGGATGCCCTTGGTAATACCACTGGCTGAAAATCGGAAATCACCTAATGCTCGTCACCAGTAGCTTGGATAAATCCACTGTGGAAGAAAGAAAGAAAATAAATGGATTACAACTATGCATAACAGCATAGAGGAACTTCACAAGTACAGTGTCGAAATTTTTAAAAAGTTACAAAAGAATATGTAGTCTCATTTTATGAATGCCAAAACAAGTAAAGCTAAATCATGTAGTTTAGGGGTGCACATGTAGGTGGAAAAACTATTAAAAGCCATTTCAACAAAAAACAGGATATTGGTTACCTCTGGCAGGGAGTCGTGGCAGGGAGAGGCACAGGACGGTCTTCCGGGCTACAGCCAGTTTTCTAGTTCCTGTCCTGGGTGAGATACACCAAGGTTCACT